ACTACATGAAAATGAAAATTAATGAATACACTGTGTACAGTAATTTACCTGATAAGACAGACCTCAGAAAAATACTTTATGAGAGCTTTTATACTTTTATAAAGCTGTCTATAATGAAAATTAATTAACTAAGGATTTTTTTGCCCTGCCAGAGTATGGCCGAGTTATCCGGAGTGCCGGGTTATCGAGAGCCGAGTTTTCGAGGTTCTACTGTATCCAATATTTTATTAACAGATCTTTTGAAAATATATGCATTGTTCTTTCCAAATTTATTTTATCTGCTCAATCAACCAGCTAAATATTTTTTCTGATCAGTTAATAATAAATGAAAAATGTTATTTTTTTCAAAGATAACTGTACATTAGATTAGTATGTAATTAAGTGTTATAAGTAGTTTCTGTAGTTTATAAGGAAATTTAGAGTAGAAACCAGCTAACAATGTAGAGGGTCACCTAAAATATTTTGGGAAGAACAATTATAAATGATGGCTTTTTTGAAAAAATGAAGTTAGAATTACAATTAAGTACACCAATTAAAAATACAGTTTTTGCAAAAACTTTATCTTATGATTAAAAGTTGTCTTTTGAAACTGAAAATGTTCATGTGAGTTTTATATTTAGAAACATACATAGAAACTATTTTTTGACATCCTTTTTACACAAAATGCATTAACTATTTCAATTTGATATGTAAAAAAGACATTCAGAATATCTGTTTGGAATATGTTCTCTTATTATTTCCCTATAGATTTTAGTTTCATATAAAACTAAGCTGTTCTGTATATTATTAAAGCCTATTACATGTTATGATTATCTGATCTTTTATGATGAGTACAAAAAGAAATAATTAATTTATCCAGAAACAAGTTACTGTAACTTAACTATTTTTGATTATATCTCTTCATATCTCTTCTAAATTTGGGAAACCAAAACACACAACCAAAACTCCAACTCATGAAACATAAAATAATGGAAAAAAAACAAACATTTTCAATTGCTTTTAGCAATCATTTTCAAGTTAAAAAACTTATTTGGAAACAGATATCATACTAGAACAGATGATGGAATGTAATAATATAAAATGAACGTCTGATTGGCAGTCAGAGGTTACATGTCAAACAAAAAATAACACACTTAAGCTGGAACTAAATAATCAACTAACTGACACCTAAATGCAAATTCCAGCACATAATAAAGAAAGAAATATTAATGTTCAAACGTTTTTGACAGTCTTTTAGAGGCCCTTATCAGGAATGAATGCACCAAAAAAAAAAAAAAACACTTCTATCTTTTGAAAATTTCTAACTTTCGAACCTTGCTGCATTCCAATTTTTAAACATTTAAACAAAGTTCGATACAGAAATTGTTTCCTTTACATCACATAAATTAAATAATTACCAATAANTTGAAGAAATAATAATTTTTATTTATGCTTTCTATTTTTAATAGGTTCCTAAATATATAAAAAAAATAAATTGCTGCACCTTGTATTTCTGTACCTGAAAAAAGAAGAATTCATTTATTTGTAATATGTTACGATACCAAAGAGTTTTGAGATCTCATTTAAAGTTTCATGTACCAATCCTTACTTTGCTCAATAATATTTTATTTACTGGTGTAAAATATCCAAGAACTAACAGTATAAGAACCTGCAGTGCCTCTAACACCAAACTGAAAGATTTGCCAAATTCTGGTCATAATGTTCCTAATAATAAAATAAAAGAAGTATATGTTTGGGGTAATACAGTTCCTGGATATTTAAGAAGTGTTAATTATTTAGATCCATTAAGAGATATAGAAGAAAGAATAACAGATGATGAACCAATTAGACTAAAATTTCCTGAAGATGTTAATATTAGTGATGTTTCTTGTGGTCATGGATTCACTGTGTTTGCTGGTACATCACCTCATGTGAATGCTAAATTGTTTGGTACAGGACTAAATTATGATTCTCAAATTGGTTATCATATTAATCAGAATGGATCTCTACTCAATGTTATTTCACAGCCTCTACCAATCAATTTGCCTTGTTCAGATAGAACTAAAATTATTCAGACGGACTGTGGTCGTACTCATACTATTATTGTTACAGATAAGGAAGGCACATTTTCTCTTGGTAATAATGCATTTGGTCAGTGTGGTTACAGCATCATGACAGGTGAAACATACATGACAAAGAAAACAATAAATAAAGTCCAAAATGTTGAAAATATCAAACATGTCAGTTGTGGTCAAGATCATACAATATTTCTAAATGATAAAGGAGAACTTTACAGCTGTGGATGGGGTGCAGATGGGCAGACAGGTCTTGGACATTATAAAAGTCAAGGAATTCCAACTCAACTGAAAGGAGATATTAAAGGGGAAAAAATAATACAAGTTGCTGGTTCTTCAGATACAGTGTTGGCAGTCTCTGATAAAGGAGACTTATTTGGCTGGGGAAACACAGAATACAGGCAGTTAAAGTTAGCAACAGATGAAGAACAATTAAACGTTCCTAGGCATTTATCTCTGCCAAATGTAGGAAAAATAATACATGCAGCAGCAGGAGGTACTATGTGTGCTGTTATTAACATTCATGGAGAAGTTTACGTATGGGGATATGGTATTTTAGGAAATGAAGCTAGAGTTTCACATCTTGTTGAACCTTGTATTTTACCTCCGAATCTCTTTAGCAACAGTGAAAATGTTTCCGAAGTTAAAATTGTTAATATATCATGTGGCTTAAGTTATTTTGCTGCCATTACAAATCATGGAGACTTATATATGTGGGGGAAAAACAGAAATTCTAGATTGTGCACTAGATTTATTGATAATATATATTTCCCACAAAGAATTAATTTACCAGCTGAAGTAGTAAAAATTAGTTGTGGAGTAAATCATGTTGCTGTGCTTTGCAAAAAATTTTTATAGTTATTTCATTTTGTTAAATTTATTCAATGTGAAGTGTTATCAGATGTATTATAAAAGATCAAATATATATTGTATTAAATATTTAAAGTGCTTTTATATATGTTTCTTAATGTACTTTCTCACCACACTGGGTTGTATATACTTCAATTAAACAACAATCTACAATTAACCAGTAACCAGTGTGAAATTCTTTAAAAATCAGCGAACGTTTTCGATTCCCATCCTGGGATCTTCTTCAGGCTTATTTTTATACCTTCCGTTATAACTGGATTCTTTAATTCGAATTTGAGATTCAAATTAAAGAATCCAGAATTATAATCTCACTACATTAATGGCATATCCTAGACTGTAACTAACAAATAACCGAAAAAAAGGGTGTCTCTTGCAAAGTTGTAGAAAAAATTACTATAAAATAGATCATACATTTTTTTCCCTCCCTTCATTGAGTGTTTCTCTTGTGAAAACTTGCATAATACTAGAAAATTTTGCTTACATTTGGAAATTATAACTTCAAAGAAAATAATATAAATAGAAAAATTTCTCTGCAAACTGGACCATTCTGTAACACAAAATACACAACAAAAAACCTAAGTCCTTCCAGTAACAATATTTTAACAAAGGATCTCAGGAGGAGGTCAAAAACATTTGTATTTTGTTAAAACGTTACTGGAAGGATTTATGTTTTTAATTGTGTATTTTGTGAAAATAACACTTATTTTCAAGAAAAAATTTATAAGCAATACAGTCTCCATTACACCAAATTAAATATAGATTATGATTTATCACACTTTTTGATGAGATAATCCAAGATTTCTTAATTAAACTTGTCCAAAGCTGCTTGAATTGCTTCTCTAAGCTACTGGACTCTGCTATACTGATTATTTTCAGCATAAATGTGACAAATCAGAACGTTCCACACATTTTATACAGGATTGGGATCAAGGTATATATCGCATAACTGGGATTTTCAAACCTAGCTAATTTCTTGCACTGGCACTTTTCTGGACAGAAGTATTATCATGCATGTATGTCAATGAAATGTCATCATAATCTATTCTAGAAAAGGGGTTAAACTTTCTGTTAAAGTAGTTTAACAAATTCCTAATCTAAATATATAAAATTATTTGTCCTGACTGACTGAGTGATTGATTCATCATCGCCCAGGGCAAACTGCTGAACCTAAAGTGGTGAAATTTGGTACACAGAGTCCATCATGAAAACGCACACTAAGAAGGGATTTTTGGAAATTCCCCTGGGGGGGAGAGGGAGAGTATTAAAGCTTAACCTGAAGAATGGCTTCTACTGTACTATTTTAGATGCAATTTTTTGTTTTCAACTATGTTTAGTCTTCATTTGAGTTCTTAGGTGTATTAGATTGATAACATTTCAGACATTGTTATAAATATTTTTATATATTTCAATTTTTTTATGTTTGAACCATTTTAAATTCAAATTTGTTATTACATATTGGTTTGATTATAGAACGATTGTAAATATTCCAGAAAATTGATCAAGTTGAAAACAGTTTGTTTGATTCTCAGCAGTAGGTGTTATATAACAATTACTATGGTTGTTGAAATACTGAATATAAATGGTGTTTGCTTGCAAAATCTGTGCGGGCAAAGTTGTGGGTAACAGCTAGTAAAGGTATATGAGAAGAGACTGGACAAGGATGAATGTCTACTCACTCTTGTACATTCTATTCCCATGTGCTGTCATCCAAATTCAGAAGTCTTTTTCTTGTTGGCTGCAATATCATCTGATGCCATCTTCATTTTCTCCCAATGTTTGAATTCACATTCAAGACATTTTTCATCATCTCAGTTACCTTCCAACCAAGTTCATGACAGTTTTTTGCTTAGAAATGTTTGATGTTTTGCATATAATGTTGCATTTGTCTCTTTTGGAAAGCTACAGTTTGAATCTGATATGTTTCTTTGTGCCATATTCTGCTTAACTTTTTAATTAATTATTGATAGCACATGAAGATTGACCTAATTTTTCAGCAATTTTGCAATTTGTGAGCAATTATTCTTTCCATCATTATGTAATGCTCCAGTTTTACCTTTTTTATGTGGCATTTTGTCTTAATAGATCTAGTAAAAAATTGTAAAATAAGAGCACAAAATTTTAGTTACAAAATAATGCATATTCTTTCCCTGAGGTTATAATTTCTTGTCAAATGCAAGAATTATTTTCTGTTATTATGCAAATTTTTTGCAGACATACAGTATTTAATAAAATAAGTAGGTTTAAGAGTATGCTTTCTAATCACTTTCTGCACAACTTTATTATAGAAACCTTTTTAAATTATTTAGTCTAGGATTAATGCAGTGAGGTTATAATTTTTTGAAATGCTTTAAAATAAATCCAACTTGCTGAAGTAAAATTTGAATAATGGTAAATATATTTTAGTTGGCAAAAAACTAATCATTATTAAAAATATAATTTAGCTATTTATAAAATTAATTATTTGTGAAAAAAATGCATCTAGAAATGTAAAAGATAATTTAAAATCTGAATAATTACTGCATAAGCATGGTGCTCTTAAATATTGTATTTGTTAACATATTCTACTGTCCAACAAAAAATAATATAAAAAATGTTTTAAGTGCAATACTAATTCTTATTTTTGTATATAATATTAATATGTTAGTCAATATCAGAATTAATAACATTAGTAATTTAAAGAATAACTAATATAATATCAGAAAGAATGACTTATTGAACAGATATGGTATATTTAACAGAATTTTATATCAAAACTTATTAAAACTGTACAATTATTTTTATTGACAAAAATTAAAACATTTTTTGTAAATTTGTAAAATATTTTCAATGTGCATTTTTCATTCTTTAATTAGATAATACAGCAAATAAATTGAATAAAATAAATAAATATTGACTATTCAAAATCCAAGGAAAGTTATAACAGAGCTTTTTTATTGAGTGATTGTTTTTAATGCTGTTTTTTGTTACAAAACTGATTTGTTTTTTCTTAAACTTCTTATCATAAACTAATATGTCAATGGTCTGAAGTAATAAAATTATAAATTAGAGTATGTAAATTACAAGTTTTTTTGCAGTTCAAGTACTTAAATTATATCAATCTATCAACACAAATCAATCTTAATTAAATAACCTAGGATTTATTCCAATAACTGCTAATTATGTGATATTATTGATATTAATTAAACTTACAAATGTTTTCTCCCATTTTTGTGAGAAATAATTTTGATTACACTATTCTTTCCAGTTCCTATGCATTCAGTTTAGCTGAAATAAATATTTGCATGTTTAATTAATATCATTTAATTAGCAATCTACTTGAATACTTTCAAATTATTTAATAGACCATCTTAAAAATTAGCTTACTGTTGATGGATTGATAATAGTAAATTGCCCAATTTAAAAATTTGTAAATTGCCAAATTTAAAAATAAATTTTATTTATTAATGAAATTATGATATTTACATCATCTGAATTGAACTGTTTCTAGATGAAAATAAATAATAAATAAAAGAATGTGTATGTTCCTTCTGTATGTTTTAACTGAAAAATTTATATATTTTATGAAATTGAAATTATTATTTATGCGGATTTGTAACTATGAAAATACAATTTGTAATTATTTATTTGTATGGAAATTGACTTTATATTGAAGTAAATTAATTTAATATAATTTATGAATTGTTTGGTTCAATTTCAATCTGGGACATGTAATTTGACTAAATACATTTCTTAATAACAATAAAAATTATAAATAACATTTTATTAAAATATTTACGTTAATAACAACATAAATATCCTTGTTCTTAATTTATAAATTTAAACTTATTTTTTAATTCTTCTGCCATATCTTGAAAAGGAGTTTGACTTTCGCTCGGAGTCCGAGGTATTCTAAACATGCGACGTACTCTGGGAACTTGCAAAAACAAGTTTTGTGCCAAACCAAACAAGCTTGACTGAAGCCAGTATAATGTGATACACTAGAAATGTCAAACATTCAAAATATTACCTATGTTACTGGAAAATGCATTAATAAGAACAACATAAAAGATTTTAAACATAAAATTATGAGATTAAAAGTGAAAATTAAGATAAAATTGAAAGTTATTAATACGTAAAAAGTGAATTTATTTATTTGCAATTAATAAGAAATTTTGCTTTTTAGAGAATATCCATTACAGAACATTAATCATTATTAAGAAGTATATTTTGATAGCATTTAATTACAATATATTTAAAACATGGACACATTTCAACGTTTTATACTTAAATATTTTCAAATACAGTAGAACCTCGAAAACTCGGCCTAATGTGGACCGAAGGGTGGCCGAGTTTGTGAAAATGCCGGGTTATCGGGAATGGGGTTAAAAAAAATAAGTACGAGTGTTTCCTCAGAAAATACTGTACTGTATTTGTATGTATTGTTTACTTGAAAATATAACAGAGAATAAACTGCCCAAATACCCTTAAACAAAGGAAAAGTACGTCCTTTATGAAGGCATAGAGCCTTTACTACATGAAAATGAAAATTAATGAATACACTGTGTACAGTAATTTACCTGATAAGACAGACCTCA